GGTTTAGGGTTTAGGGTAAATCCTCGACCCTGAGCCCTAAACCCTAAATCCCTCAAACTCTACACCCTACTGGCGTCTATGTAGGGCTGTTTTCAGGCTCCAGGTACTCTTGCCAGGCCCTGACGCCTACCCTCCTTGCAGCCCAATTGCCTTCACTTTTATGGGCTGGGTTTTAGGCTTTAGGGGTTTAGGGTTAAGGGTTCAGAGTACCTCCTAATCAAGGGGTAATGACTACTGAGCTATTAATTGGGGCACAGGTCAGGGCTACAACGCATAACACCCTGTCTCTTCAGTTGTCCAGCGCTCCCACTATCTGGATCTTGGCTGAGAAGCCCGCACTCAACCCTAAAATCCTCAAGCCCAAAAACCACAAACGCTAAAACCCCTAAAGGGAGCGCATGGCAGCTGTAAAAACCCTAAACCCTCAAGCAGCGCTCCCAGCACCGAAGTTCCAACCTGCACCCTGAATTCATCTCTAGAAGCCTAAACCCCCAAAGCGCCTGAATCGTAAATCTCAAACACCCCAAGCCCATTCAACTCCCTTAGCCCTAAACCCACCGAACTCCCTTATATAACCCCCTAAACCCTAAATCTCCAAACTCGCATAGGTTTGGTCCCCAGAGTCGTTACCCTGAAGCCAGCCGCAGCAGTGGCAGCCAGTAGCCAGAAAGCAAGCAGGGCAAAAAGCCGACGTGCAGCACAAGTACCAACCTCAGGGTTCTGGGGGAAAAATCGTATTTAGGGGTTATTTAGAGATAATGGAAAAGACTGGAAGCTATTATTATTTAGGGTTAAGGGGTTTGGGTTTTAGGGGTCTAGGGTTTAGGGCTTGGGGGGTTCGGGTTTAGGGCTTAGGGTTGTGGGGGTTTAGGGCTTAGGTTTTCGGGGTTTAGGGGTTAGGGTTTAGGTTAGGGTATACAACCTTAGGGTTTTGGGGCCTATAGGGATCTATGAGGGTTACATTATATATAGGGATGTTTAGGGTTTGGGGTTTGGGGATATGGGTTCTTAATAGGGGTCTATAAGGTCTATTCAGGAATAGTGGAAAAGAACATGGAAGCTACTATTTAGGGTGTAGGGATTAGGGTTGAGGGGGTTGGGCTTAGGGCTTAGGGTTTTGGGTGCTTGGGGTTTAGGGCTTAGGTTGTAGGGGTTTGGGTTTAGGGTTCAGGGGTTTGGATTAGGGTTTAGGGTAATTTAGGGGTTGGGGTTTAGGGACGAGGGCTCGAGGTTTAGGGATTTGGGTAAAGGGTTAAGGGCCTAAACCCTAAACCCTAAACCCTTTGTTTAGGGTTTTAGGTTTAGGGTCTCAAGGTTTGGGTTTAGGATTTACGGCTTAGCGGCTGGGGTCTAGCTCTGTGACTTTAGGGCCTATAAGGTTCAAGGCTTAGGGTTTTAGGCGTACGCACGGTTTAGGGTTTAGACTGCCAACTTGAGGGTTATGACTCGCGTTTAAGGCTTAGGGCTTAGGGCGTAGGTTTTAGGCTCTGAGGGCTTAGGGTCTTAGAGTTCGGGTTTGCCTCAGTCACAGAGCTTAGGTTTCACTATGACAGAACATTGCTCGTCAATCTGCAGGCCTGATCCACATGGTGACATCTCATAACCACGGGTACTTGGATCTATTATCTACATAGAATGAGCCTTTTTGGCGTTTTGGGACTATGACATCGCCCCACTTCGCAAACACACATAGAATCCACACCCTACACCCTACATCAAAAACCGCCTGCCTTGAAGCCCCTCTGAACTCTCAACCACTGAACCCTCAACACGAAACCCCTCAAACTCGAAACTTGAAACCCCTAAAGCATAATATCTAAACCTGAAAGGTTCGGCCCTTAAGCCGAAAATCTAAATCTCACACCCAAAAACCTACAGCCCAAACTAGAGACTGAAAAAAACCCTTCAAGCCCATCCTAAAACCATCAAGTGACAAGGGTTCCACAGTGCCCACCATCTGTCACGCCCGTGGATGGTGATATATCTTGGACAAGGGTTTAGTCTAGGGACTTTAGGAGGGACCCCTCATGGGGACCCTTAATCCCATTACCATATATAACCCTTATATAGTCGTTATATAAACCCTAAATCCTTAGGTAGTCCCTATATTAACCCCAATAAGTCCTTCCTGAAGTCCTTAGAGTTTAGGGCTTCGGGATGGTGATCTATCTTGGCCAATGGTGTACTCTAGGGTTACAGGACAGGATTTGACGTTTAGGGCTGCGTTGAAACGACCAGACATCCCCAACATGGGGGCCCGTGGAGACCCCGAAGGCAGATGCAAATAAGGGAGAGATTATCAGAGGGATGCTCCGACCGCCCTCCAATATCTGGTATAAAGCTCGTTTAATGTTACCCTAAACCCTAAACCGTGCAGGCATTATAGGGGCAGTCTCGGGTCGAGCACTGGAGGGACACTCTGAGGTCAGGAGTCCCAGAGACACTCCCCTAGTGACAGACACTCTTTAGGGTTTACCCTCAACCCGCCCTAAACCCTTTAGGGTTCAGGGGCCTGGGCACTGAAGGAATGCGGTTGGGCATTTCAAGAAGACAAGAAGATGGTCAACCTCACAAGATATCTTCCAGCAGCCCCATAACGTGTGGAAAGGTCAAAAACCTGAAATGAAAGTTTTGGCGTAGATACATCGCTGTTCCAAAAGTTCAGCTGGGGCCTTTTAGGACGCTAAAGACGCAAAGATCTTGCGGAGTAGCAGACCGGTCCCACATGCCCTTTTCATTGGCCCTGCTAGCGGAGTATGTAGTACGTGCTTTAAAAGCTATAGCACTTGAATAGTCCCAGCGGTCCCAAGGCTCAGTATCAGGAGTCTACGGGGAAGCGGGTGTCTAGTTGGGCAAGTTTACCTGCTTTGTGCGAGTGGGTCGAACTTTGCCATAGCGCAGTATTTAGCGCTTGAGTGCAGAAGGTCCTAGGTTCCAAAGTTCGAGGATTCTGTGTCAAAAGTCTGGTCCACACACATTCTTCCAACAATGGAGGACCTCCTAGCCCAGCATCAGAAGACTGGTAATCTCTGGCGGGGGAACTTGAATACCAAAAACCTGAAAACACCAGCTAGAGCTTGTTCAACATGTGGGAGTTTCTCTAAATATTCCCTGTATACATGCGCAAGCCTTTAATGCCTCAATCTTGTACTTGCACCAAAGCTCCTCGCGGCCGCAGCGCCCAAACAAATTTTCTAAAAATTCTGAACCCACAACCCTAAAACAGAAGTCTTCCCGTTCTTTTCCATTATGCCTATATAACCCTCTATCACCTTATTGAACCCTGAAACCCTAAACCCTAAACCGCGTGTCAGAACAATTTTGCAAAGCTTAGGTGCAAGCGATGCCTGAGGTTCTGCAAAGGTGTTTCGTAATCATAGTCCTGAACTGAGACTTACAGGGTTTAGGGTTGAGGGGTTT